GATCGAACCTGGGCCGCACACGTGCCAGGCGACTGCGCTACCACTTGAGTCACATCCCCAGCCCCTCTGGTGGAATTTTTAGGGTCTTCCAGGTATAGAATTATATCATCAGCAAATAGTGCCAATTTGAGTTCTTCTTTTCCTATGTGTATCCCTTTAATTTCTTTTGTCTGTCTACTTGTCCTAGCCTGTGAACTATGTTAAATAGAAGTGGTGAAAGAGGGCATCCCTGTCTCCTACCAGTTTTTACAGGGAATGCCTTCAATTTTTCTCCATTTACAATGATGTTGGCCTGGGACTTAGCATAGATAGCATTTATGAGATTGAGATATGTTCCTGTTATCTCTAGTTTTTCTAGTGTTTGGAGCATAAAAGGGTGCTGTATTTTGTCAAATGCTTTTTTCTGCATCTATTGAGATGATCATATGATTCTTTAAGTCTATTCATGTGATGAATTACATTTGTTGATTTCCATATGTTGAACCAACCTTGTATCTCTGCGATGAATCCCACTTGATTGTTATATAGGATCTTTTTGATATGTTTTTGTATTCGATTTGCCAGAATTTTCTTGAAAATTTTTGCATCTATGTTCATTGGAGATATTGGTCTGAAGTTTTCTTTTTTTGATGTTTCTTTGTCTGGTTTTGGAATCAGGGTGATATTGGCCTCATAGAATGAGTTTGGAAGTGCTGCCTCTTTTTCTATTTCCTGAAATAAATTGAAGAATATTGGTATTAGTTCTTCCTTAAAGGTCTTGTAGAACTCTGCTGTGTATGCCTTCGGACCTGGGCTTTTCTTGGTTGGTAAACTTTTGATGGTGTCTGCTGTTTTGTCATTAAAATTGATCTGTTTAAGTTGTGTATATCATCCTGAATCAATTTGGGCAAATTATATGACTCTAGAAATTTGTCGATGTCTTTGGTATTTTCTATTTTATTGGAGTACAGGTTTTCAAAATAATTTCTAATTATCTTCTGTATTTCTGTAGTGTCTGTTGTGATATTTCCTTTTTCATTACATATGTTAATGATTTGAGTTTTCTCTCTCCTTCTCTTCATTAGCATGGCTAAGGGTCTGTCAGTTTTATTTATTTTTTCAAAGAACCAACTTTTTATTCTGTCAGTTTTTCGATTGTTTCTGTTGTTTCAATTTCATCAATTACAGCTCTGATTCTAATTATTTCCTGTATTCTGCTGCTTTTGGTGTTGATTTGTTCTTCTTTTTCTAGGGCTTTGAGATGTAGTGTTAAGTCATTTATTTGTTGACTTTTTCTTCTTTGAAGGAATGAACTCCATGCAATGAACTTTCCTCTTAGAACTGTTTTCATAGTGTCCCAGAGATTTCCATGTTTTATCTGTGTTCTCATTCACTTCTAAAAACTTTTTGATCTCCTCCTTGATGTCTTCTGCAATTCATTGTTCATTCAGTAGCATATTATTTAGTCTCCAAGTATTGGAGTAGCTTTTTTTTCTTATTTTATGATTGATTTATAATTTCATTCCATTATGATCTGACAGAATGCAGGGTAGTATCTCTACTTTTTTATATGTGCTAAGAGTTGTAGGTAGGCCAGGCAGAGTGTGTCAGCCTTGGAGTCCCTATGGGCAGCCCCTGGTAGCGAGATACCTGAAGCTTTGAGAAAGAAACCAAAGCTACAGTGTACACCCCTGGATTAAGAGATGCTCATAGTGTGGACTGTCTGCTGAGGAAAGCTGCTGGTTGCCATAGAACCAGGCTAAGACAGAGGCCATGAGCACTACAACTAGCAAGGCCAGAGAGATGGGAATTCCCAAGCCCTTTGGAGAGAACGTCTTGTCATACGTGCCCCATGATGCGGGATATGGCATTACAAGACTTAATATTTGCCTGGATGAGTTTTAGTCCCTTCACTTCTTTTGGAATATGTATGCCATTATATATTGGATATACATATCCTACTTTTCACAGCTAAAAGTTTGCCTTGAGACTCAGAAGAGACTTTACTTGGACCTTTGGGCAATGATGGAACTATTAAGATTATGGGGACTCTTGGAAATGGAATAAGTGTAGTTTGCATTGCAAGCTGAACATAAGCTTTTGGGGGTCAGGGTGGATATGTGGTGTCCCACAAAAGTTCCTGTGTTAATGCAGAAATGTTTGAACATGAAATGATTTGATTGTGAGAGCCATAACCTAATTAGTCCATAGTTTTAAATGGACTAACTGGGTAGTATCTGTAAGTAGATGGTTGTGGCTAGAGGAAGTTTGCATTTGGGGGATATGCCCTGCATGGGTTCATATTCCCTGCAGCCCCTTTCCCTTGCTCTCTTTGTTTCCCAGCTTCCATGGTCTTTGTAACTTTCCTGATTTGCCCTTCAGTCATGATAATCTGCCTCTTCCAGGGGCAAGAGCAATGAAACTGGCCGAAACCTTGAGACAAAATAAACTTTTCTTCTTCTAAGTTGTTTTTGTCAGGTATTTAATCTCAGCTACCAAAAGTTGAATAACACATCTACCCATGTGATTAGTCATACATTTCCTCGTAGTTCACATAGTGTGAAGACTTTTCCAACAAGAAGAAAGACAACATGTGCTTTGCTATAGATCCTTTCAGTTTCTCAGTTTTATATATAGAAAAATAGAAATGATTCATCAACATACTTCTAAAGTATTTATTCCATCATTTGCATTGGTTTAATCATTCTCATATTTGAGGAACTTTTTCAAAATATGACACCAGTAAAAAAGATGCCTTGTCATCCATGTAAATTTCTTGCTAATACAGTCGGAAGGTATAAAATTTTGTTAAATGTATGTTACAGGTAGAAGGGGGCCACATATGTCATTTAAGCTAACTTCTTTATTTTGTAAAAAGGGAATCTGACCTTAAGAGAAGTTAAAATCTTACCCAGGGATTCATAGTTCTTAATGACAGCATTGAGTCTTGAAGTTAGATAATATTAAACAAATTCAAGTGTCTTTCTACCACTATCAATTCCTTTAATGAATAATATTAGAACAAACTGTGGCTTTGGACTCCAAGGCCTAACCTATTTATCATGACCTTTTGAGTATACATTTTGTGTTTTCAGTAGATCTTGACATCAACCCATTTGCAAATTCCATATTTCATGAACCATAAGGGTATGCTTTTTGATCAACTAATACAGCAGGAAATTAGAAATTTGTGTATATACTTGTTTTGAATGAAGAATGATTTTTCATAAAGATTTTTCTTTTACTTGAGATAACTGCTCTTAAATGCATTATTTTTTATGCCTTTTAGTGACAGTGATTTTCTTTTCCTTTATGACATTTTAAACGTGCTTGATGACATGTGGAAATTAATTTCAATAATTGGATTTTATAGTATGGTAATATTATGATTTTTATGTTTTTGTATGAAAAATGGAAAATGATTTGTTTTCAGATATATTGAATAAATAAATAGTATTGTGTTAGCTTTATGAGAACAGTGGTTTTGTCATTGCACCCTATGCTACTATTACTTGGTATATTTGGTAACCAGTAGGTACTCAACTAGATACTCAGATTATTTTAATGTGTTGAATTGATTTTTCTCAGTAGTTAAATTTGGGGGCAGGTGTATACTGTTTAAAAAAGCAAATGAAATATATATTTTTAATATGTGTATTGATAAAATTTTAAATCATTGCTTAGTATATAAAGGAATACATGATAACTGTCAGTAAGCTTATAAACTTTGAACATGCCATGTGACTTTGACCATCATTTTTAATGAACCTAAAGGATAGTCTATCTAGTAACCGTTTCAGCCTTCTGGGTTGTTATTGGAATTAAGGGATCCAGATAAATGAGATTGCTCTCCTTAAATAACCTAGCCCTTGGTATTATAGAAGGACAAATCAGGAGAATCTTAGCTTTACTTTTGTAATGTTCACTGCTGAACTGCAGCTATACAGACATGGAGTCCCTCTGAGGTAACAGTCACTTTTTTACTACTAGAATAAGGCAGAATAATACTAGAAAGATAGAACGAAGAAGTTTTTCTTTTGCTATGTTAGAGTGTTTTCTCACCAGTGCATTATTTCACTAGTTTTATATAATCTCACCAAATGCTGTAGAACATATTAAATGGAGTCAAAATTGACATTTCATGATTTTTTAATGTTACTTTTAGAAGAAAATGTTTTTGTTGTTCATATGGTAAAATAATTTTAACAATCAATAAAATATTCAACAGAAAATATTGGGAAAATTTTACAGGTTTGTAAAAATATCACTTTTAGAAAATTACTGGTATGAAAATAAATTTAGGTTTGAAAATTGGCTAGAAAATAAATGACAAGTGGATTCAGTTATGTAGAATCACAAATAATGTAATTTTTTTTAGTTTAATTTTAATTGAATGAAAATTGTAGCTGCTTTATAATTTAATGAATTGTGCTTATGAGGTCAGAAAACCTCAATTGATTGGTCTAGTGAATCTTAATAAGTATTATATGTGTAAAAAATGAAAAATTTGCCTCATAAATGCAGTTTGCATTCTAATTAAGTGATCTTACCTTTGGAGCCTTATACTTTTTGTTTGCTGTTGGTAATTGGAAGAAAATTCTTTTTATTCTAGTTTCTCTATATTATGTCAGGAAGACACTTAACCAGAAAAAACAATGATAATTCTTCATGCCTTGAATATTAATAAGATTGATTTGATTTTTAAAGTTACTAATTTACAATGAAATCAACTCATAAGTAAGAGATGATAAATTAATTTGGTTAAATAATAACAAGAAAACTAGATATTTCTAATATCAGTTTGGTTATTCTTAATCACTCTCATTTACCATGATATTTTTGATCACTAATAATTCTAAGCCTTATGCCATTTTAATTGGTAATTTTGCTTATTTTTAAATGAAACAAAGCATTTTTCAAAAGAACTAACAATTACCTATGAAACTAAGAGAAAACATTGAAATTTGAAGTTTCACAATATGAGCCACAGAAATTATTTATAAAATTCTTTTCTGTTTTAGAAAACGGAAGTGTTGTCCAAGTTGGAGAGTTGTTGCCTTGCAAAATTTGTGGAAGAACATTCTTTCCAGTAGCATTAGTGAGTAGACTGAATCTGTATCTTTTTCCTTTGGGGTTTAATAGATCTGTAATTGTTCAATACTTAAGAATAACTCACATGGGGAGAATTTATGTAGAATGAATTTTGAAGTTTTGTAAAACTTGTTGAGGTGTTTGGGTTCCATTTGTGTCATTCTTCCAGAATACTCTCTTTCCTTCAGAGTTTGGTCTTCTGACTTCTCTGTTAAAGTGTTAATATTATCAGAAGCAAACAGAACAAACACCCCCCTTTTTTTAGTACCACCCCCCCCCCTTTTTTTTTTCATTTTTATGTTGAGATAGGGTCTTGCTAAGTTGCCCAGGTTGGCCTAGAACTTATGATCCTCCTGCCTCAGCCTCCTGAGTCACTGGGATTCCAGGCATGTTCTACCATGCCGGGCTACCAAACATCTCTTAATGTATACAATAATGTATTTATAGATACAAAATGATATAATGTCTAGGTTTTGCTTTAAAATACTTTAGGGGAAAAAAGCAGGGCTACACAAAACAAAAGTGCTAAAATGCTATTAATTGTCAAAGCAGTGAAGAGTAAATTGGAGTTCATTATACTAATCTCTTAACTCTCCTGTGTTTGAAATATTGCAAAGAAAAAAAAGCATAATTTTTATTTTACAATATACAAGTGTACCTAAAATGCATTTTTCATTTTTTAAATAGTTTTGGTTGCAAAAATAGTTTTGTAATCCATACAAATAGAAATTCTTCTAATTGATCTTAATAAAAATTAGCTAAATAAGAAAAAATAAAAATTATGCCTTATATACTTTAAATATTTTAACTTTGAACATAATTATATATTTATTAAAATTTTGATAAATAATATGTTAAAAATAGGGATCTGCTGGCAAAATATACTGTGCATATCCTTGTTTCCATTAATGAGGGATTAATGATAAAAAAAAGTTCATTTGACAGTGGACACCTAAATAATTTGACTTTTTTGTAATCCTTTAGAAATATCTTTCCCACACATGTAGGGATTTTTTTTTTTTTCTCATCAAATCACTGTTTTTCAAAGTATTTTCAAAGCAGTCAGCTGAATTTTCACAGACAAAAATGCCAATTTTCCCTCAGTTATTTATTTATCTAATATTAAATTAAATGATATAGTTATAATAACTACACTTTGTATAATCAGGTTTGGAAATGAACTCCACAGGCACTTGACACATAACAACTAAATTTGTGAGACTAGACATACACGGGTGTAGTAGAAAATTACATGCAAGCCTGTTTTTATTACTTAAGAACTCTTATTCTAATAGCTATAATTATAGTGCTTATTTGTTGAAATTGAAAACAGATCTGTGAAACAGTTGATCACTAATTGTCTACTGAAAGCATAACAGGCTCCTGACTTCAAATAAGCCAGCTCTCAAATTTGCTTTTTTTTTTTCAGATAAAATTTAATGTTTCCAGCTTCTTCAGAGTTTCTTAGAACACAAATGAAAAAAATGCCTGTATTGTAATGTCATCAGTCAATGTGCTTTGTATAGTGAAGGAAGAAATTGTTTTATCTAATTGATTAATTAAAAGCTAGTTAAGAGAAGTTTACTGGTATTTAAAATGAATGAATTGGTAACTATTTTTTAAAAACCCTATAGGAATAGAACACTAGATATCTTAAAAAAAAATCTTAGTGAAGAAAAGTAGAAAGTGTGAATTCTAGAAGGGAAGAAAGAGATAAAAGACCATTTTGTCTTTATTTTTGTGTTAACATTATATTAACATATAACTAATATGTTACTTTTGTTAATCTACATTATTCCTATTACATTAGCTTTTGTTAATCCTAAAATCAATGCATTCTTCTCTATATAGCATTTCTTTTTCTAGTACCCATGTTTAGGTGTGAAGACCTTTGCTTTTCATTCAAGTAGATTTGATTTTATATTCTTTTCCTTACCAGAAAGGTATTATATAACTCTTAGTAAAATTTTACAAAAGTATTTTTCTATAATTTCTTGCTTTAAGAAAGAAAACTTATGCATTTTACATATACATTTTAAAAATTTATAGTTAAGACAAAGCATTATCATTATATGATCTTCAGTTTTTTAGTTAGGCTCAGATTTTTTAAACCGCTCTCAACTTATGTTTTATAATGTTCTCTTCTGTAGGGAAGAAAATAATATGTTGCATGTTTTCATCTTAACAGAAAAAGCATGGACCCATTTGTCAGAAAACTGCCACTAAAAAACGGAAGACTTTTGATTCAAGCAGGCAAAGAGCTGAAGGAACTGATATTCCAACAGTAAAACCTCTTAAACCTAGGGTAACTTTTTAACAGAATTAATCTTACTGTTATGTATATTAACAATTATAATTATCTGTTATTAACAATTATAATTATCTGTTATGCTATGATTAATAAAATTCTATGTATTTAGCTTAAAAATTTTTATTAACTTACATTGTAATTGAAATTTTAACTGTAAAGGGGACATTAAAGTGTCATCTCAAACTTCATCAAATATAGTGAGAAATTTGTAGCATTTGAGAACCAGTTGCTTAGCTATCAGTGGGAAATAATTAAAACAAATGTGTTCCTACATTCTTTTTAAGTCATTGTTAATACTTAAGATATAACTTAAGTTTTGAACTCTTTCTTACCATTAGTATAACCTCTTAAGTTCATATATGGAAAACAAAGCTTTTCTTACAAACATGTTAGCATAATAGAAGTTGATTACTTTGATGAATTGGTTTATGGCCAGTACTTATAATTTATATTATGCTTTCTGGGGATAAGATTTATCAGTTGTTCAGTTGTCCCACATATATCTGTTACCTTATTTTCTTTCTTGGAACCAAAGCAAAGAACCTCTCATGATAGTCTCTTCTTAATATCTGTCATATGTTACATAGCTAAGAATAAATCATTTAAATGCATTGTCACATATAGTTTTAAATGGTCAGTTCATTGAAATGATCTAGGTGAAGTACCTTATTGAGTGGTTTTTGAAACAACAAAAGCAAAAAAAAAAAAAAAACACTGCTTTCAATGCTAATAACTTCTTCCAGGGTATAAGAGGAACACTTCCCTAAAAGAAATTAATCTTAGAATAAAATTATTTCAATATAGGAAAATCAAGTATTTATCTTCATTTTATAGTCTGTAAATATTTATGGTAAGAATGGTGAAATTTGAATAAGGTACAAAAATCAGTATTTGAAGTTTTTCTTAGTAACCTCCCAGATAATATGATTATATTAGTTTAAGTAGATAAACTAGCCCAATCTTTGGATGCAGTATTACTTCATATGTATGGCCACATATCTGGATTTGACTCTGGCTGTGTAACATCTAATGTTATTTTGGGCAAATTATGTATGCTTCCATTTACTATACAATGGTGATAGAAGTAGTATCTGTATTGGGGGTTATTGTGGAGATTAAATAATATTATCCATAGGGAGTTATATTTAATAGTTTTTTTAAAAAGGAAAGTAAAAAACCATTCTTTTGTATTAATTAATTAATTGCCTTGCTCCCAAAAGTGTGGTCCATAGAGCAGTAATATCAGCCATATTTGAAAACTTGTTGGAAATATGGAATCTTTGGTCCACACAGATACTGAATTAGAATTCACTTTTAACAAAATCCTTGTACCCATTAACAAAATCATATACCCATGCAACTTTGAGGACAGTGTTTTAGAAGATTTGAACATTATAATATGATTCTCAATGTTATTTACCTAGATCAAGGAAATCCTACAAAATGATAAGCAGAGTAGGGGCACAACAACTGTATGAACTCTATTTTTGGTAAAACTAAAGGCACAGACTACCAAATACATATAAGTGCTGCCCAAAGCAGTTGAGATCCAGGTTAAGTTTCTGAAAGTCCCATGGATTAGATAGTGAGAATCTCATGCCTTAGAGGGGAAAGATCTCTTCAACTTGAAGGTGATTCCTCAGAGATGAGAGGTCTTGTTAGAAAGAATATATCCCTTTGTTAACTGCAGCCAAGGCAGGAACCAAGATAAAGTGTAGGAAATTGGATAGCCAGGCCCTAGAATGAGCAGGACTGAAGTTGTTCAAAAGCCAAGAATGAGGAAGAGAGAATTGAGCAGGCCCAGTAGCATAGGTTCTTGGAAACTTATGTGGAGAGGCCCAACTTAAACTCAGGTGTGCTTTTTAGAAGTGGTTGTGGGAACTGAGAGAAGCAGAGCTGGCAGCAGTAGCCTTTTGTATACATACTATTTTTGTTTTACACAAGTAGAAGAGTCAGAAAACTGCCACTAAAAAACAGAAGACTTTTGATTCAAGCAGACAAAGAGCTGAAGGAACTGATATTCCAACATTAAAACCTCTTAAACCTAGGGTAACATGGAAACAAACAGAGAGATCTTATTTGTAGTAAGTAGTCTATATTTGGTCTAACAAAGAAAATGGTTGCTGATATGTAGCCTGGAAGTCTACCCTGGGCCTCTCTTCCCCAAAATCTCTTGCAAGTAGTTGTGCCAGGAAAATCTGATGAATTCAAGGATGAGTAATAAGAAACCTGTTTACATTGATACAAAGATACTATGAGAAGAAAAAATACCAAGGAGCAGTCAAACTTACCAATAGATGAGTAGTACTCTTTATGGAGCAGATGAATTTTATGAGTAGACATTTACCTATAAAATAAGAAAGTTTTTATTTAAGATTTTTTTGGTATCTATATCCATAAAAGATGTAGGTCTTTAATTTTCCCTTATATCAAAGTTTTGTGGCTCTCATAAACTAGTTGGAAAGTTGCTTTCTAGGTATTTAAGTAATATGATAAAATCTTTATTTCATGATACATGAGTCAGCATCCTATTTAGTGTAAAGACATTGGTAGTCCATTAAAATTAGGGATGAGATTAAACTGCAGCCAATAGAGTAAGTGCTAACTGATACTGTTAGATAAGAAAAAGAAATTGGATGTATAGAAATTGGAAAAGAGTTACTAGAAGATACAGTATACTAGAAGGTATAATATTGCTGGTTAAAAGAATAACCAGGAAAATATTGCAAAAGATAATAAAATAGGATTACCCTGTTATATCAATATATGTTATAAAGTCTCAATATTTAAAATACTAGTACTAACTTAAGGATAGTTAGAAAAATGGAATGGAAGAGAAAGTTTTGAAATATGCCCAGATTCAAAAGGGTTTAGTTTGTGATTAATATGTTTTCACAGTTCTGTGGGGAAAAAAGTTAAAGGGTGGTTTGATAGCTGCATTGTCTTCTTAAAAGAAAATAATGAATTGAATTCATATATTTCACCATTTACCAGAATAATTACAACTGAATACAATTTTAAAATTTAAATTTTTAAAATGGAAACCATGCATGTTCCAGAAGGAAATATGGGAACATTTTATTTTGCCTTGGTATGTGTTTGGCCCAGGCAAACTTACTATGTTGGTCTTGGTATGTGTTTGGTCCAGGTACTTACTGTGATTGCAGACTATGAAAGAAAAGATTAGTAAATTAAACTACCTTTTAAAAAGTTCTGCATTTTAAAGGATCCATAGCAAAGTCAAAAGACAGGCCAGTTATTGGAGGGAATAATAGCTAAAGAACTACTAGAAATTGTCACACACAGATCCAAGAACCCAACCAATAAACAGGACAAGGAATATAAAAAGATTATAGGATAAATGATACAGATGGTGTTTAGTGAAGTGAAAGAATGTTCAATCTCGGGGCAAGAAAAATCCAATTAAATCCACATTAGAGAGGACAATATTTCACCTTTTAGTCAGTTGAAATCTCAAAAGTTTGTTAAATTTCATTGGAGAGATTATAGGAAAACAGAAAATTGTACTATTGCTTCGAGCATAAATGCATGTTACACCTATAGAGGATGTCTGTCAATTAGAATTATATTTTAAAAGTTGCATACAGTGCAACTGCATACAAAGTTAATTTGGGAAGGAATCTTTTAAGGATTCCTGTTAAGAGAATATGATATTAAATGATTTGGCATTATCTCAAGTTTTATTTATATTTATTAATAGTTTTGATATTGGGTTTTCTTCATTTATAGCCAGAACCACCAAAGAAACCTTCAAATTGGAGAAGAAAACATGAAGAATTCATTGCCACCATAAGAGCAGCTAAAGGCCTCGATCAGGCACTTAAAGAGGGTGGCAAACTTCCTCCTCCTCCTCCACCTTCTTATGATCCTGGTATATATGGAATACTGTTGATATAAATATTCACATGGACAGAAAATAATGATAGAATATTTATACATTTTTAAGTTGTAACAAAACTTGAACCTAAAGCATAATCTCTAAATACTTTGATATTAAATAATGGTCATATCCCAGCCATCTAGGATTATAAAGATAAATCTGTGTGGAGTGTAGGAGTGCATTATCCTTTTATCACAGTACTTGTATTTAAGCATAAAAATTATAGCATGTTTAAAAATTATATGGTAAATTAAATGTTAGTTTTCTAGGAGATAAATTAATCATGTTCATTGTGGGTTGAGATACAGTCATTGAGTGGAATTCAGATAGTTATGTTGACTGGTTCTTTGGTATCTTCTTATCTAGGAAGAAAAAAAGGCCAATATTTGTAAGGTATATATCTCACATAGGAAAACTATGATATAGACTGATTACCTAAATTATGCTTTTAATTTTATTTTCTTCATTGAATAGCTAAAAGTTGCATTGTTCAGGGTTAACAAAATGTAAAACAAGATTTTGGCAAACCCACATGAGATATTATGATCCTAATAGACAATTAGCTATTGGTTATTAGAACAGCCTAAAGTTTATTTTAATGAATAAGTTAGCCACATTAAAATCGAGTTAGTATTCTAGATTGAGGTTTATTTCTTAGGAAAGAGAATGCTGTTCAGCAAATCTAGACATGATCTTTTTTTTAAATATTTTATTGTAGAGAAGAGGTCTGCAAATAAAAAGCCGTAAAGTAAACTTTTTTAGACTTTGTATGCCATAAGGTACCTGTTGGAACTTTAACTCTTTCATTGTTTCAATAAGTCATAGATAATGTATAAATGAACAGGCATAGCTATGTTGTTCCAATGAAATATTATTTACATAAAGAGGCAACAGGCAGGCTGAATTTGGCCCATAGGCTATACTTTGCCAAATACTACTTTAGAGTATTAGTAATTACTTTTAATTGTTTTGACTATTTCTGAGATGCTCCAACTGGGCTTTGAAACACTTCTGTCTTTATTTTCCCCATGAAGTTGAGTTCTCTACTTTGGAGGTATTTGGATATTGCATACATTTTTTTTTTTTTTCTTTTCATGTCTGCATTAGTGAGTGAGGGAGTGTTCTTTGGAATGGTAATGGGATTTAGAAAATTCTCTTTGGCTTGACAAAAACTACTTCTTTGTAATTAGGGGTTTTAGTGTAATTTTTAAAGATCACACTCCCTATCCAAAAGTAAACATGTTGAAATAAGTGAAGATTTTTTTTTTTTTGGCACTAATTTTTTGTTTATTCCCAGTTTTTCATTCAGATGAGGGTCCTTTGAAATGCTTCAAAATTTGGTTATGGGTTAATTTTGACATTCAATATTAAAAGAAATTTTATTTACAGTTACTACATTTTGGAAGAATATTTTGTCTTAGAAATATCCATTGTCTCCTAAATTTGAATTAATTATATTAATTTTAAGTGTTTTAAAATCACTTCTTCCATCTGTTAGGACCTCTAAAAGAAAGTAAAGTTGTTGGAAGTGAATAAAACTATTTTTCGATGGTTTTCTCTAATGGATGTATAAGATTCTATGGATAAATCTATATTTTAAGTGGTATATTAGTATGGTATATTAGTTTTAACTAGTCTACTATATACAGTATATATACAGAATGAAAGCATACGGTATTATAGAAGTAAAGGAGAAATAATATCTTTTCTTCTACTTATTCATTCTTTTGTCCTGAAGATTTATCTTTTGTTCTTTTTTTCTCTTCAGTTCTCCTCAAATTTGATTCAAAGTTAGAAAAAAATTAGAATGAATTCATTGGACTTTTTCTTTATAGTCTTTACTAAGTTTATCAGGCTGGATGTTATATGGAAATGGGAGTTTTTGCTTATCAGATATTAACTATGTTATGCATCTTTAATTATTGTTCATTAAAAACCAATGATTCTTAATATCCCCTTTCAGGTATTCTCTTATTAATCTGTTTCTGTCTTAGATTATATTCAGTGTCCATATTGCCAAAGGAGATTTAATGAAAATGCAGCTGATAGACATATCAATTTCTGTAAAGAACAGGCAGCACGTATTAGTAACAAAGGCAAGTTTTCTGCTGACACCAAAGGAAAACCAACTTCTCGGACACAGGTGAAATGCTCAATTTTAATAATTTCTATCCATCAATGAGAAAATGACACTTTGAGATTCATAGTTTATGTTTATGCTTTATAGGACATTATACTATAATTTTATCACCTGATAAAATAAATGTCTAAGGGATTAAAATGCTTAATTGAAAATAATTGTTAAAATTAATTGATTTGAGAAGTACTTGAGTTGGTAGGTACTTGAAAATGTATCAATTTAAAGAGTAATAAAGTAATAAAATAAATTAAACATAGGATTACCAAATTCAGAGGAAACATAAAAGGTTTGGAAGACTGAGTTAATGGCAATAAAAGTCAAAGTTTGAAAATCATATCAGTACTGAAAAATGTACATGAGGGAAGTGAAACTTGGATTCACATTCTAATTGTTTCTTTGGAACTTCTAGACAAATAACATGCCATTAAGTGATAACCACCTGATGATTATGAAAAACAAATGAAACAATGTATATGAAAGCACATAAACTACTGATATATAAGGTTTTATAGTAAATTAATTTTTATAACACTATTGTTTTTCTTTAAACACTATTACACAAAAATATTGACAATGTTAGACTTGTGAGCATATTTCTGTTTTCACATAGCTTTTTTTTACGAACAAACTTTTTTCTCTTTTGAGAAGCGGTTGCACTGTATTGCCCAGTCTGACCTTGAACTCCTGTGGCCAAAGGATCTTTGCTTTCTCAACCTCCCAAATAACTGATACTACAGATGAGTACCCCTGTATCTGATCTAGCAGGTTTTATTGAGTGTTGTAAATCTGAACAACAAATGGTTGAGTCCATATCTCTTGTTACTTACAAGTAATATGTTAGATTAAAAGACCCCCAATACAATAGGGGCTTCTTTGAGAGAATCTTTGTACTGAGTTCTTAAAATGTTATTGAAAATAGACCATATCATTAATATCATTGTCATTTTGGGGAAAACACCTTTTGTTAAGCTGAGCACAATGGCACATGCCTGTAATCCCCTAGTCCTTTGGAGACTGAGGCAGGAGGATTGCAAATTCGAGGCTAGGTTGGCAAACATTTGATTTTTGACTGTGCAGTACTATATTAGCTAGCTGTGAGTTTTCGTCTCTGACTTGTGTCAAGCTAAGAATGTTCTCCTGTATTTAATGAGGGTTTATTTGTTTTTGTTCTTTAACTGCAAATGTAATTTGAATTTTGTATAATGCTGTTTATCTATCCAAACACTAATGTGGTTTTTCCTGCATTATGTTATGCTTATGATAAATTACACTGATTTTCAAATGTCAAACTTAATTTTCATTCAGTGAGTAAATTCTACTTAGTCAAGAATTATTATTTTTATGTTTTTTAATTTGATATACTAAAATTTTGTTAAAAATTTTTTCATCTATCCTTATGGGGAAGGATAGATGAAATGATCTATAATTTGGCTGGTATTGATTGAGAGTAATACTTGCCTCATCAGAGGTTTGCAGTTATTTCCTATTTTCTGGAAAAGTTTTTGTTATTTTTTTTTCTTACATTTTTTCTTTTGGAGTTCAATAGTGAAGATTTCTAGGCATACAGTTTCCTTTTTTCTGAGATTTTAAATTATTACATAAATTATTTTATTAATTGTAAGGTTGTTTAATGTGGTAGTTCTTGGTTTTCAGTTAGCATTTTGCTTTTTAAAAGCAATTACCTCTTTTATATGTGTAGTTGAATTTATTGACATAAAATTATTAACTTTTTAATGCCTACAAATAACATGCCATTAAGTGGCATGTTATTTATTCCCCTTTTTCATTCCTGAAACTGATATTTTATATTTTCATTTTTCTCTCCAACAAGTAGTTTTGTTTTGTTTACCTCTTTTTCTAGCCTTGCAAGAGGCTTATGAAATTTTATTACATCTTTACAAAGACTGTTTTTCATTGCATTGTTCGAGTGCATCTTACAATTCTTTTTCTCCACATTTTTTAATAGATGCATTATAGTTGGACATACTGATGGGATTTATCACAATACAGAATATAACAATACAATTGACCAGTTTCACTCCCTAACACTTTTTCCCTTCTTCCCAACCTCCTCTGGTGCCTTTTCCCTTTACTGATCTCCCTTTAATTTTCTTGAGATCTGCCCCCTGCTTTTGTTCTCCTTTTTCCTCTTTAGCTTGTACATATGGAAGAAAAACATATAACTCTTAAATTTCTTAATTTGACTTATTTCACTTAACATATGGTCTCTAGTTCTATCTATTCTCTACAAATAACATCATTTCATTTTTCTTTATGGCTGATTAAAACTCCATTGTGTATATATTACCACATTTTTAAAAATTCGTTTGTCTGTTGGTGGACACCTAGACTGCTTTCACAATTTGTGAATTGTGCTGCTGCAAACATGGGTATGCATGAATCACTGTAGTATGATGACTTTAATTCTTCAGGATAAAAATTGAGGAGTGGTATTGCTGAGTTATATGGTGGTTCCATGTCTAGTCTTTTGCAGAACCTCCATACTGATTTCTATTGTTGTACTAAATAGCAGTCCTATCAATAGTGTAAAAGTATTCTTTTTCTCTCCCCATCCTCTCTAGAATTTATTATTAGTGTTCTTAATGTCAGCCATTCTGACTGGTGTAAGATGAAATCTCAATCTAGTTTTGATTTGCATTTTCCTAATTACTAAGGATGGTGAACATTTTTGCATATATTTGTTGGCCATTTGTATTTCTTCTTTGGAGAAGTGTCTGTTTAATTCATTTGTCCATTTATTAACTGGGTTATTTAATTTTTTTGGTGTAAAGTTTTTTGAGTTCTTTATATATTCTAGATTTTAATCCTCTGTTAGAAGATTAACTAGCTACATTTTCTCCCATTCTGTGGATTCTTTCTTCACACTTTTAATTGATTACTTTGCTGTTCAGAAGCTTTTTAATTTGATACCATCCCATTTATCATATTGTGAATCAACTCTTTTGATATTATTTCCTGAGCTTCATGGGTCCTATTAAGAAAGTTGTTGCCTGTGCCTAAAAGTTGAAGTGTTGGTCCTGTGTTTTCTTCTAGGAGTTGCATAGTTTCTGGTCTAATTTCTATGTCTTTGATCCATTTCAAGTTGATTTTTGTGCAGGGTAAGAGATAAAGGTCTAGTCTCACTCTTCTACATATGGATAACCGTTTTCCCAGCACCATTTGATAAAAAGGCTGTCTTTTTCTCCAGTGTATGTTTTTGGCACCTTTATCAAGAATCAGATGACTGTAGATGTGTGGGTTTATCTTTGTATCTTATATTCTGTACCATTAGTCTTTGTGTTTGTTTTTATGCCACTACCATGCAGTTTTTGTTACTCTAACTGTAGAATAGTTTGAAGTCAGGTATTGTAATGTCTCCAGCATTGCTTATTAACCTCAAAATTGCTTTGGATATTCTGGGTCTTTATTCTTCCAAATGAATTTTAGGACTGTTTTTCTAGTTCTGTGATGCCATTGGTATTTTTATGGGGATCATATTGAATCTGTATATTGCTCTTGGTAGTATCACCATTTTAACAATATTAATTTTTCCTATATATGTATGATCATGGGAAGTCTTTCCATCTTCTGAGGTCTTCTTTAAATTCTTTCTCAGTATTTTCATTGTAGAAGTCTTTCACATCCTTGACTTATTCTAAAGGTGTTTTGTTGTTGTTTTATTTGTTTTCTGTTTTTTGAGCCTATTACAGATGGAATTATTTTCCTGATTTCTTTCACAACATGTTTATTATTGATATATAGGAAAGCTATTGATCTTTGTATGTTGATTTTGTTCACTGCTACTTTGCCACATTTGTTTATTAGCTCTAGAAGTCTCTTGTTGGAGTTTTTTGGATCTTCTGGATATAGGATCATATCATCTGCAGATGGTTTGATTTCTTCATTTTCTGTGTTTATCCTTTTATTTCCTTCTCTTGCCTAATTGCTCTGACTAGAATTTCTAGCACTGTATAAAATAGGAGTAGTGAGAGTGAACAGTCTTGTCTTCTTTCAGATTTTAAAGGAATGCTTTCAGTTTTTCCCCATTTACCATGAAATTGGATTTGGGTTTTTTCATTTATAGCCTTCATAATGTTGAGGTAGATTCCTTCTATCCCTAGATTCTTTGGTGTTTTTATCATGAATGGGTATTAAATTTTGTCAAAGGCCTTCTTCATTGCATATGTTGAGATGACCAAGTAATTTTGTTCTTAAATCTTTTTATGTGATGAATTATATTTATTTTATGTATTAAGCCATCCTTGCCTCTGAAATAAAACCAACTTGACTGTGGTGTACACTCTTCTTCATATATTGTTGAACATGATTTGCTACTGTTCAAGTATTTTTGAATCTAAGTTCATCAGGGATATTGGTCTGTAGTTTTCTTTCCTTAATGTGTTCTGTTCTTGTTTTGGTATGAGTGTAATATTGGCTTGATAGAAGGAAGTATTCCATTCATTTCTTTTTTTTTATTTAATTTTATTTTTTTATTGGTTATTCAAAACATTACAAAGTTCTTGACATATCATATTTCATACATTAGATTCAAATGGGTTATGAACTCCCATTTTAACCCCAAATACAGATTTCAGAATCACATTGGTTACACATCCACATTTTTACATAATGCCATATTAGTGAATGTTGTATTCTGCTACCTTTCCTATCCTCAACTAACCCCCCTCTCCTCCCCTCCCATCTTCTCTCTCTACCCCATCTACTGTAATTCATTTCTCTCCTTGTTTTTTTTCCCATTCCCCTCACAACCTCTTATATGTAATTTTGTATAACAATGAGGGTCTCCTTCCATTTCCATGCAATTTCCCTTTTCTCTCCCTTTCCCTCCCACCTCATGTCTCTGTTTAATGTCAATCTTTTCCTCCTGCTCTTCTTCCCTGCTCTGTTCTTAGTTGCTCTCATTATATCAAAGAAGACATTTGGCATTTGATTTTTAGGGATTGGCTAGCTTCACTTAGCAAAATCTGCTCTAATGCCATCCATTTCCCTGCAAATTCCATGATTTTGTCATTTTTTAGTGCTGCGTAATACTCCATTGTGTGTAAATGCCACATTTTTTTTTATCCATTCATCTATTGAAGGGCATCTGGGTTGGTTCCACAGTCTAGCTATTGTGAATTGTGCTGCTATGAACATCGATATGGCAGTATCCCTGTAGTACGCTCTTTTAAGGTCTTCAGGGAATAGTCCGAGAAGGGCAATAGCTGGGTCAAATGGTGGTTCCATTCTCAGCTTTCCCAGGAATCTCCATACTGCTTTCCAAATTGGCCGCACCAATTTGCAGTCCCACCAGCAATGTACAAGAGTACCCTTTCCCCCACATCCTCTCCAGCACTTGTTGTTGTTTGACTTCATAATGGCTGCCAATCTTACTGGAGTGATAGGGTATCTTAGGGTGGTTTTGATTTGCATTTCTCTGACTGCTAGAGAGATGGTGAGCATTTTTTCATGTACTTGTTGATTCATTTCTATTTCATCGAATAATTTGAAGAGTATTGGCATTACTTTAAGGGTTTGGTAGAATTCAACTAAAAATCCATCTTGTTTTTTCTTTGTTGGAAGGCTTTTTATTACTGCTTTTAGCTCATTGCTATAGTTATAGGTTTGTTTAGGTTTTCTATGTCCTCTTGATTCAGTTTTGGCAGATCTTATTTATCCAGATATGAATACATTTCTAGGCTTTCCAATATATACAAATCTCAATATGCTTCTTATTGTTCAGTTTAAAATATTTTCTAATATGTAATTCTGTTACTCATAGTTTATTTCAGAATGAAGCATTTAGTTATGGATAGTTGGGGCTTTTTCTCAATGTTTTATTTTTGTTTAATTCTGTTGTAGTCTGGTAAAACATTAGGCAAAATTTCCACCTTATTGAGATTTGTTTTATTGATGCACATATTCTTTTTTGGTGGATGTTACATGACATCTGGAAAAAAAAATATGTGCTCTGCTCTTGAGTTTTACAAATAAGTGAATTTCTCTTAATATTTATAATTTGTTATATATGTCCCTTTTACCATATGATGTATCCCTTTTCTGTGGCAGCATTCCTTTTGTTCAAATGTGTTTCATCTGGTAAGAATATAGTCATTTACTTAATTATTCATTTTTTGTTCTTTCTTTTCTTTAAATGTCTTTGCATACTCTGTAGACAAGCCTATAATTCATTCTTCTTTTTGTTTTTTTTTTTAATTTAGCTTAGCAACCATAACCTGTTGGTTGAAGTGTTGAGACATTTCTGTTTAATGTAATTATTCTTGATAGGTTGTGCTGAGGTCTGCCATGTTGCATTCTTCAATTTTTGATTCTTCTTTTACTTCTCTGTCTGTTTTGTCTTAATAAGCAACACTTTTTTTTTTGTTGGCTAACTCTGCTTTTTGTTTTTTTAAATTTTCTATAGGAATAGCATAACTTATTCTTATCTATGAATTTTTCCATTTACCTCCTACCATCTTTAGTGCTAGTGTGTTTATATATACATATACACACATATATAGATATGTATGTGTGTATATATACATATATTTAAAATATATGAAAAAAATAATGACTTTATAGACATGATAAGCCTGTCAGTACTCTTGATGTTGTTGTTATGAAATGTTAGACTCATTGTTTTAAAAGTCATCTGCTTTTAGCCAGGCATATTGGTGCTTGCTTGTGATGCCATTGACTTGGGAGGCTGAAGCAAAAGGATGGCAAGTTAGAGACTAGCCTCAGCAACTTAGCAGACCTTGTCTCAAAATAAAAAATAAAAAGGACTGGGGACATATCTCAGTGGTAAATTGCCCTTTGGTTCAATCCCCAATACTAAAAACAAAACAAAGCCCAATCATCTGCTTGTAAAGTAATTGAAAATGTGTAAATATTATATACATATGTACATAATATGTATATACAAATATATATACACACCTATATTAATTTATACATATACTTTGTGTTTTAATTTATACATATACTTTGTGTTTTATATTACACATGTATTTATCTTCCCCAGACATAATCATTCTTGCTTGCAAATCTAAGCTGCTATCTTTTTTTCATTTCCCATCAGTCTGGAAAGGTTTCTTGAGTCAGTATTGCATATCTGTTGGCAATGAATTCTCCATTTTTGGTTATCTGAAACATCATATTTTCCCTTCCTTCTCGGTTGAGATACCCTACTATTTATTTACTACTTATCATATTCATCATGTTCCCCCTTAATTTTATTTTCAGAAACATTTTGAACATAACTATAATAATTATTTTTAAGTCTTTGATTGCTAAATCTGACACCTCTGCCCATGTGGAATTGATTTCTGTTCACTGTCATTTTTTTGTTGAGTACGAGCCATATATATTTTTTTTAATATTTATTTTTCAGTTTTCGGCAGACACAACATCTTTGTTTGTATGTGGTGCTGAGGATCGAACCCTGGCCACACGCACGCCAGGCAAGCGTGCTACCTCTTGAGTCACATTCCCAGCCCGAGTATGAGCCATATTTCCCTGTTCATTTGCTAGAAATATTTTGCTGAAAACTAATTATTGTAGTTAATATACCAAACTGGTTGTTTTTCATTGTTTTTCTCTTCTTAGAAGTGGGAGAGTATCTTATATCTTAGGCAGTTAAACCCAGAGGACACAGTTTTGGGTCCTCTCAGTCTTGTGTTTTTATGTTTGTTTGTTTGTTTTAAATCCTCTTGTAATTATTATCTACAGGAGAGTTATACAGCTACTTTACCCCTTTACACTGAGATTGTAATTTATTACCACATTTTTAATTTCTTGAAGTTTTTTTAGTTTCCTACATTTTATTGTTTCCAATTTCTCATATCCATCATTTATTTAAGTATAATACACATAATTATTTTGTTGTAATATGTGTCTGATAATTGTAGTATCAGGCAGCCTTAAATGTGTTCCTGTCTTCTCCCCCATATTCATGGCATATACTTATTCCTTGTTATTATGTTATTCCATGGTTATTATTGACTATTTTCAACTTGTTACCATTCAGAAAGTATTTATGATGGTTATTATGCCTTCTTATATCTGCCTTCTCACAGAGAAAATTTGTGTTTGTTCCTTCCAGGTATCTAGGAGTACTATGACCCTGGAAATATTTAAATTAAATTATTAGTGTTATTTTCTTGACTAGTCTAATTTGTAAAGCAAATACATGTGATAGCCAAGCAGGTATTATAAATCTCAAATTGATTGGAGTTAGGTTGGCAATTTCTTTTCCTCCCATCTGACTTTCAGTGCTTTTTAAATTACTTTGTACATACATTGTTATACTTTCATGCTCGTTTTTTAGTTTTTCATTAAAGGGTTAGTCCAAATAGACCATTTTTGAGAAATAAACTTTCTATGATTTCAGCAAAAATCTTTGTAAATATGAATATTTTACTTACACCATAAACATTTGAGTTTATAATCAGTGGGATTAAATACACGTATAATGTTGTGCAGCATCACCATTCATCTCCATAGTTTTTTTTCTTGTAAAGCTAAAATTTTAGACTTGAAGAATGTGAACTTTTGAATTACTAGTTTATAATTCATAATCAGAAAATTATGTTAATAGAATATTTTATTTTTATTATTTTAGTATAAGCCACCTGCACTTAAGAAGTCAAATTCTCCTGGAACCACGTCATCAGGATCTTCACGATTACCACAGCCAAGTGGCATTAGCAAAACTGTTGTAGGTAATGAGATCCCATAAAATCACTTAATTTTTAAAAACTGTTTAGAGAAGGAAGTAAAGATTGTGCTCTATTCTGGATTATTAAAATAGTTTTATAATTAAGAGATGTGCATTAGTAATTATTTATGGATACAAATAAATCACCTTTCAATAGCTTATACTTTAGATATTTTATTGGTTTTTATACTTAATATATGTTCAGAATAACTGGCCAGGTTCTTTTTTTGATTCACTGACCACAAGTATTTTTCTCTCATTTCTACCTTGGTTCCTCAGACTTCTCTGATTTGACAATTTTCCTGATTAAAAGAATAATAATAATGGTTTGAAGAACATATTGGCCACTGAAATGTACCTTTATTTTTATGTATATTGTAATCTAGAAATTAGAAATGAATATGTTATTCCCTGGAAATAACATTTTAAAATATCACTTTTAAGAAGAATTTTTTTTATTAATAACTTGACTTATAGCTGTAAAAAACATTACTAAAGAATTGTTTTCCTTGTCAGATACTGTATTCTATGTTAATTTTTTAGAGAATTCTTTAACGGTTGCCTTTTTTGTCATAAGGTACACCTTCAGGTAAAGTGCCTTCAGTTAGCAGCTCTTTGGGAAGCAAACTTCAGTCCTTATCTCCTTCTCATAAAGCTATAGCAACTCCTCAGGCAGGGTAAGTTTACATTCAATAATTTATTCATGGTATGTCTTTAAATGGTATTAAACTTTTATTTTGATTCTTGTAATCAGCCTTTTCATTAAACTTAATTTTCTAAGTTTTTTTTTTAATGTATTGTTAATTAGGATCATACTCATCCTTGTTGAGAACCTAAACTAGTATTTAGAAAATAATCTGATGGTATTTACCATGAGCCTTAAAATGATCATATTTTTGGTTGAATAATTTTATTTCTAGGAATGTACTCTCATGAAATATTTTAAAATGTTTTTTTGAAGGGTTATTTAATGCTTATAACTTGTTAAGCACTATGTGTCAGGCACTGTGCTAGACATTTTGCATGTATTTTTATTAAAACCTCTCCACACCATGAATAACAAAATCAGAAGCATTTTTTTTAAAGCCACAAGCTGTTAAGTGAAACAAGATACAAGTTGAGATCTACTTTAAATATTTGAATATTTATTTATTTGTTTTTATTATGTTCACAATTATAATGTAAAAAAGTGAAATAAAATCACTAGCTTTGATTGAATAGTATGCTTTGAAAATCTATAAAGGGATATTTTACAGCCAGAAAAATATAAATAAATTTTAATAAGATAATTCTGCTATACCAGAGAAAATTATGTGTAAAAATGTAGACAATATATGCTGAAATATCAAATGGGTAATTCTTTTCCTTTTATTTAATCCTTTTTTATGCATTTTTTACACATTGTTACCTAGATGGCTTTAAACCCATTTTGTCCCATATCCCATTTGTGGAACATCTCTAAAAACTTAAAATTGAAAACAAGTAGGCCATTCTTGGATTTTGAAATAATTGTTATGTTGACAGAATTGAATATTTGGGACTTAAAAGGATTAATGAAGTAGCTTAAATCAACTTTTAATAATCCATTTTAATATGGAAAATTTGTTGGTAATGCCAGAGATTTTAATATCAAGTCACCTGATATAAATTTACTTTCCCTTTCATTTTAATAAATGAGAAAATTAGGCTAATAATATAGCCCTATTGTTATATAAAATATAGCCATATTATTTTCAAATATAAGTTATCTGTGGCTCACATTCATTTTGATTTTCTTGTAGGAAATATATATAAGGGTTTTTATCAAGTGAGATTAACTACCTTTTATTTCCCAATTCATACCATATGCAAAATATAAGACCTAAAAGAGTTTAATATAGTTATTATTGTAGGAAAAGAAAAATTTCAACTTGTTAGAGCTGATGAATTGAATATTTTTCTTACTGTTTGTTATACCTCCAAAAAGAAGAAGCAGGCTATCTTTTTGAAAAGATACATAGTAATAGTAGAAGGAATAGTTGAAAAATAAAATAGTAACATATTAACAGCTGAAAAATAAAAGAATCTCATTTTCCATTGGTAAAAAAAAAATTTTTTTCCCTTCTCTACTGAGTTGACTCATTGGTTGGTTAAATGAAGTATACATTCACAATGAATTTTGCAAAGCCTTTTTATTATATCAAATAGAATTGTCTTTTATGTTAGGTTATAGTGTTTGTAATGTTGCTTATGGTTTCATTTACAGTGATTATGAATTTAAGAGGCAGTATTTTCTAGTATTTCATACTGGTAATTTGATCACTTTGCAATATTAACATACTTAATCACTGTTCTTAAGTAGGACATGTAAAGCTAGATAATATTAAAAAAAAGGAGTGCTGATCTTAGAAAACTAGGCTTTTGCTTTCTACTATGCCACTAATTAGGTAGATGTCTTCGAATATATCATTTAACTTTGACAACATTCTGAGTCTACTTAGATCTTAAGGACGTTTCTTAGAATACATGACCAATATTTTCCTAAAGGAAAATGTTTTTACTATAAAGCAGAGATTTTGAACACAATACTTGTGTTCTTCTTATAATGCCATAAAGATTAAAAATGTTGTTGTCTCATATCTCATTAAACTGTGAATCATATCTGTTCGAATTCTCATTGTCCATTTATCTGTTTCTGGACAATATATGCACTACATTAACTAGAATGTTGCTATATGATTACATTAAGTTAGAATCATTCACAACAGTTTAGTGGAAGATACCATGCCTATTGTAGAACTATTGAGGTGAATGATTTGTTTCCCTTGCTAGATTTTAAGCTCCATAATGACAGAGACCACCTTGTGACACATGAGAGATATACATACAAAGGCTAGCAGCATGCTTGCCATGTAGGTATATATTATACTTTTAGTGAAAAGTTTAGAAAATGAATTAATAAATTAAATCACTCATCTGTATGCCTTTTTATACATCATAGCATTATGGTCCTAGTGGAAGTGGAAGAACTACTTGAAATTTTTATGGCAACCATTTTTTTCCATTTAATCAGTTGATTGAAGTTTGAGTGAAAATGAAATTAATATGTCTGGTTAACTATAACATTCAAGAAATGAAGTATCTGTTCATATTAGTAAATGACATCACTTCAATGGCTTGCAGTTGCTTGAAGTCTGTATGTACTCTTTAGTATGGTTCATTTTAATTAGGTAACTAGGGATAATAGTTAGCATGTATTGGAGTGATGAAACAGAAAAATTAGGCTTTGCACTTGAAAAAATTCTCATGTTTGGTGATTAAATTCTAGACATCCTATGGGTCAACTTCAACAGACTTTTTAAGAAGCAAAACATTCCAATGTAAATTTTTTTCCATATTTTAAAAGATAATTATCTTTAATCCTAGGAAATTTTAGAAGTGTAATGAAGCACTAAACTTTTAAATAAATATTGCCACAGCCACATTTGAACTTTACACATTTGAGTGTTGTACAGTTTTGCATTGAGAACTATGTTTCTTTTAAATATCAGTTTAAATGTATATCTCTACTAATAATTTCCAGTAGCTGAAATATCAACTTTAAGAGATTTACTTCTGTTCAGTTACTATGAAAAATGTAAGACTAAAAAATGTAAGATTACTTTGGAGATTAATAGATGAGGTAAAACTATAAATACATATAAGAAATATTTTAACAAAAAAGTTGAATTTGATCATACTTTCTTATGTTAAATTGTAAGAAACAAATATAGTTTTTGTATGAATGGAAGCATGTTTTTTTCATAAGCTAATTTTTCTGATGTGTGTGAATTGAATTGTGGAACAATATTTAGATTTTCATAAAGTTTTCTATCTTACTGATCTAGATTGCAGAACTTGGTTTGTTATGTGGATAAAAATGAGGCTATTGTATTAGGGAGATAACTTTGCGATGGAAATAGAGTACTGATTTGTCTATGAAGGCTTGATGGATTTAAGATTAAAAGTTGATATTTGACACATTTCAAAACTTTGACTACCTCAGAGCATCATAACTATAGAAGTCCACAAAGATATTAAATGTTACTTGGTAAAATATGAATTTAGAAATTTTCTTTTTATTACATCTCACTTTACTATGCTTAGTATAGTCTTAGAAAAGACTTGGTAAATCAGAGTGAGAGATTTATTTCCTAATTGATTTAGTAGTAAACAGGGACCTTTCTTAGTAAATTAGGAATGGATTAATGGCATTGCCAAATATTTCTTAAAATGTCCATTGAGTTGGATGAAGTAACATACTTGTAATCCAGTTACTCAGGAGGCTGAGAGCAGAGGATCACAAATTTGATATCATACTGGCCAACTTAGCAAGCTTCTATCTCAAAAATAAAATTAAGAAAAGGGTTGGGGATAGGGACTGAGGTTGTGGCTCAGCAGTAGAACACTTGCCTAGAACGTGCAAGAGCCTTGGTTCCATCCTCAGTACCACATAAAAATAAATAAATAAAATAAAGGTATTGTGTTCAACTACAACTAAAAAATAACATAAAAAAAAGAAGAAAGAAAAGTATTGGGGATATAGCTCAGTGAAGGTACTAGTTTCAATTTGCAATACTTAGAAAAAAGAAGAAAAAAAGTTCATGAGGATGTGCATATTGTGAAAGCCTGCATTAATATTGTATAAAATTCTGATCACTATTGAGGTGTGGAAATTTTGGCTTTGATACATAACCTAGCCATAGCAGATTATAGCAGAACATAAGTTTAAGTCATTTTAATATAAAAATAACATTACTAACATTGAACCTAGGAAATATTTGAGGTGTGTGTGCTTATGTGTGTATATGTGATAACACATATACACTCACATACACTAAGTTGAATTTTATAACAGAAGTATGTGTGAGAAATCATCAGTGGAACCTGCCTTTCAGTTAGGTTTTTAAAATCTGAAAATATTTATAATTACCCTTAGATTTTTATTAGAGTCTATACATATCCTCTCTTAAATTGAATTTTGTTGATTTACTTTCCTCACCATATTAGAAAATCTGATTTTTTTTTTTTTTTTTTTTTTTTTTTTTTTTTGGTGTTCAGGATAAAACCCAAGACCTTGTTTTTCCTTGGCTAAAATTTTCCAAATTTTAATTTTAGTATCTGTTATCCTGAGAAAGATTTTTTTATACCTTATTCATAAACCACAGGTGCCCTTTTAAAGATAAACCTAACCACATTTGGAACAATAATGTCTTATTAATAATTGTTTAACAATTCAAAGAAAAAGCTAATTAATTCGAATACTAAATAATCTTTTTCATTAAGAAACCAAATTTTAATATCAAACATTTTATAAATTATGTTTAATATATATTTAAAGAAGGCAACTTTTAAATTTTAATTTCAAACTTAAATACCACCACCTGCAGAATATTAATACCAACTTTTATAAAGAAACATTTGCTATGTTTAGGCTACTGAAAACATAAAAATGAATATTATGTGTTCCTCCTCAGAGACCTTTATAATCTAGAAAAATGAATAGATTCTTTTTGGACATTAATAGTTTCTATTTAGTACTATGCCCCCAGAAATTAGCACAGTGTCTGACATCTGACACATTGTCGGTGCTCAGGGTTTATTGAGTTAGTGAATGAATGGGAAAAAAATGGATGAACAAACATCTCTTAAATAGAATGTAATTTGAAGTTAAGCAGTATTATTCAGTAGTCATTTAAGGTAGTTTTAAAAATTTCCTAATTTTATTTGTTGGTGATGGTATATGTGATTCATTTATTTGATTGATTTAAAGCAGGGAAATAACCTATAAACCTGCAGTTTGTACTTTATCCTCTAGATGGAGATCTGTATACCTTTGGCAGGAAAAAAAAAGTTTTACATGGCATGCTTATTTAACATATTATGTATGATTTTTTAAAATTGTGCATCTATTTTTTTCACATAGTTAATACTTTACTGTTTCCTACATAAAGTTCAGAAATAAACTCATTCCATTACCAGAAAGTCAGATACAAAACTATTTAATTCTTATTTTTAGAATAATAAAATGCAGGGAAATCATAGAATAAAATAATAGAGAAGAAAAGAGAAAAGGTTAAATAATTTGTGAATAATAGCGTAGTTCACTTCAAGTTTTACAAAATTTTCATTGAAATATTTGTTGTCTTTCCTGATTGATTCCATTTCCCTGTTACGTGTGAATGTGGCAGTTGTGCATATGTGCATCAAAACTGTCAGGGTGAACTGGATAGTCAGAATTTTGGGATCTAATCATGGATATTGTGTGAACTCTCTTGAGAATTCTTTTTAACATTAGTTGTTATACCCTGGAAGTCAGATAATTAAGGGATGGTAGTGGATTTCTGATGAATCAGAATGTCTTTTTCTAAAAAAAAAAAAAGAAATTCTTTATATAAAGAAACAAAACAGTAGCAATCTCCTTATGGGTACACCTTTATATATTTTAATAGTAAGATGGACAAGTTAGGCCCTCCACTTCGAACTGGAAGACACGTGCAAAGGTTGTATGACAGTGATACAAAATCAGACAGTGCCATCAAAAGACATGAGTTATTACCCATTTACAAGTAAGTATTTGTAACTCAGTTTGGTTAATATTTTTCAGATTTTTAAAAAGCTTTATATAGTAGATTACTGTAACTCTTATCTTCTTAAAAAGAAATCTTAATCATTTTAAGCCAAAAAGTGCTAAATAATCTTCTAGGACTTAAACACTTCATTGTTGTTCAATATTTCTATTCTAACTAACACTGTTTTTAAGGCATGTATTTTACTCCATTAAATATTTATTTTTAAAGGGTTTAATAGAAGTCACCTTCAACAGTTGTTTTTATAGAGTTTATTAGCAGTAAATAATATTTTTGAAAAGAAAAATAAAGGAGAAAATTATGTCATGTAACATTACTAAATTATCTGTTAAGCAGACGCAGAATGATGTTAGCTGGGGGTAGGGCGAAGATCTTAGAAAATAATCAAAGGATTCTTACTCTTTTTGTTATTAGATGGCTGTAAATAACATATAAAACAGGGAAATGATATTACACTGCCAGATTCACTCTTTTGTGTTCTGACATAACTGGAGAGAGAGTGTGGCAAAAACAGTTATTTTTGAAACTCTACAGCAAGAATCTACAGGGTTTACTAATTAAGACTTTTAGACTTCAGTACCAAATCTCATTGGAAATGATGAAGTTAGGGCCCAGTACATTAATTTACTTATTAACATTACAAAATATATTACTAAATAGTTTATTTTAAACCAATATGTATTACACATTCTGCTTATTATATATGTATGATATATAATAATAAATTTAACTAGATATACAGTTGAATAAAGATGGGAGGAATCTTTATCATACTAGTAGCAGTCATGGGTTATTTTTAAGTAGTTAGTGATTGATCCTAGAAGGAAGACTTTGTCCTAAGCCATTTGTCTTTGTGCTACTGTTACTATCTGTACCCTCTGAATCATATCTAAAAAACAAAAACCTACCTATCAGTAAGATGGATTAAAGTATAATTCTACAATGGAACTTACTTTTATTATGTTTGAGCAAGCAAATTCTAGATAATAGATTTTGGGTAATAGTCTTCAGATTGTGGTCTAGAAGAAAAACATTAATATTCAGAACCCACCTCTTAGAGTACATTATTAAAAACAAATGTTAGGTTATTTAATATCACAGCTATTAATGTTGATAATCTTGTATTTCCCTCTAATTGTAAACATTTTAAATGTATGTATATTTAAATGTATGTACTTTCATGGGTGTATTTGTGTTAATGGTATATCTTGGCACACACATATTATAAGAGGTGATAGGATTTCTAACAAGATGTTCTAGAGCTTTAAAAAGGGGAGGAAGTATTCTTCCCAGTCAAATGCCATTCTTTGGCAATGATTTAAGAGATTAAGTTCCTTAAAAGGCACTACAGTCATTCTACAACATCCCTAGATAGACTATAGAAATAAGAGTAGAATGAACCTCATGGATGAACTTGGAAAGACTTTTTGATGAAGTTTAGAGCATCCCATTCACACACCAAGGTGATTCTTTACTTACTCTGAAAAAGTAACTACCCAAAGCAACCACATTGTAGAAGGTAGAATTACATATAATGTATGGGTGTTTGAAAAAAAAAAAGTCAGTTATTACCTATGTGAATTTTGGAAGTAATTAATTTAAAATTTTAGGAGATTCTCTCAACTTTATTATGCAAGTAGAATAGGAACAATTTCAGTCAAAGCTTAAGAATTTCTAATCTAAAGGAATTTTGAAAAATATTCTGCTTGTTCTTATAATGTAACATTGGTTATGTGTGAAATGAAAAAAATTGACTATCTTTAAAGAAGGTAAAGGAACTAATGCTTTATTGAATATTGAATCCTGGCTTTACAGCGTATTAACTGTTTACCTTGGGTAAGTTACTCAAGGATTTTTTGTCTTATTTAACTCATCTATAAAATTAATCCTTATATGTTTCATAGGATTATTAGGATTAAATAAGCATATATATGCAAAAACAACCAAAAAATGTGTTTGGTATGTAGTAAGCATTACTATATAAGTATTAGCTTGTATCAGTGACAATAGCATTAACATTAGTATTAGAATGGTAGTAATAGTATTATCATCATCACAAATGCTAAATGTTTATATATATTTAGGTCTTATAACTTTCCTATAAATGATCATTTTATCAGTGAGTGAACTCAAAGAGGTTGATCATATCTCAAAGCTGGTCAGTAGCAGGATTTGAATCTAGTTTTATCTGATTGAAAGCCTTGTAATGTTATATCATCATTCAACTTTATAATCTTTCTTTGATTTCTGAGGTTTCAAAATGGGAATTCAGTGATGATCCATCCAAGTCTCCCTGGTAGTAGATAGTCCAAGCTGTGTAGTTCTTATGGTTAAATTTCTAAATGGAAAATTATATTAACCTATTTATTTTAGTTGTTCCTTTGAAGACCTTTTATAAGTTGAGTATTATCCTGTAAAGTGATTAGCTAATAGTTCTTATACTTTTAAGTCATGTCTCATGCTTAGGATAATAATAAATTACTTGTTTAATGCATTATTTAACAGTATGCCTAGTTATTTAACAGGAATACATATATGTTTTGAGGCATGTATAACTTTATACTTTCAGAAACCGTTCAAATTTTAAATTTCATGTAAAGCGTGTAAATATTTTAATTGACTTTTATTATCTGGTCAGTGTTATTGAATGAAAATGCCTTGGTTTATCCTTAATATTAACTATAGCTTGTTTTCAGATTTAAAATAATTACATGAACTTTTATCTTTTGAGCTTTTCTGTAGCATCTAATTATCTTTCTAATCATGTAGATAGATAATTTTAAAAATAAATGTCTATATTCAGTACTTTTTCATCATATCATTTCTGTCTCTTCTAGAGCTAACATCAAATCTCGAAATACCACACCACCTAGTTTGGCAAGAAATTCTGCCTCAGGTATACTTACAAACAAAAGAAAAACATATACTGATAGCTCCATAGCCAGGTATGTTTAGCTTTCCCATCCTAAAACCAAAATAAAAATTGAGTATTTGTAATTTTCAAAGTACCATGTAAAAAATAGATAACTGGATATTTATAGATAATCTGATTTTTTCTTTGTTATAAGATTTACTATAGTTTTCAAGTTATACACAAAATAAAAGGTTGGGAATAACATCATTTTTGTAGACTTTGTAAATTCAATTATTGTTTTAATGCTGAGATAATTTTTTCAGTTCTATTGGATTTATTTGGGTTTTTGTATTTCAATTTTAACTACAACATGTTTTTTTTTTTTTTTTTTTTTTTTTACCTCATGAAGTAGAATAATAGACCTGTGGACCTCTGCTATTATCATTTTCAACACATTTAATATTTAAAACTGACCTCTTAGGTGATTATCCATGTACTGCTCTTTCTAATTTCTCATAATATGTACTTAACTTTGGCATTCACTGTTTTTTAACCATATAATTAACTCATCTCAATTGTATATAGGTAGGTAGGTAGGTAGGTAGATAGATATTCCAACTTCTCCTGGAAAGCTTTAAGGCAAAAGCACATAAATCCATGGTGAGATCCAATATTAAAAAAAAAAAAAAATCTTCTAAAACTGAACATGTCCAGCACTCTCCCAGAGATTTTGATATCTTTGGTTTGGAGAGTGGGCATCCTCATTTGCCATATTAAAAGCTTTAAAAGTAAATCTTATACATAATTAAGAGATGAAAAATCATAGAGGAATTGATAAACTGCTGTCTTTCCAGCTAGATTCTTTAATAAGTACTTATTGTCTCTCTAAAGTTTTTGATGTATACTAAATATCAAAGAAATGAGCATGTTTTTTGGGAATCAGTTTAAAAGCCAAGCAAGAACTTTAATTTTGGTTGAAAAAATTTAGAAATTTCAAAGACAACTTAAAAATCTAAATAAATATGTATTTTTCATAAAATAGAAAGTTTAATATCATAAATCTGTCATATAAAGCTGTCTGTACTCCCCCCAACTACAGTGCAATTTGCAAACAAAATTCATGAGTCTTGACAAATTGTTTTCATGATATATATGAAGAACAAAATCCTAAAATTGGCCAAGACAAGTTAAAAATAATAAGGCATGAGTGTGAGTGATGTAGTAACTAAGATAGTTAGTTTGATATCAATTCAATGAAAGACAAATAGAACAAAAAATCTGGGTGGAGTGGTTAGAAAAAAAACATTTCCACAAATGACTAGAAATCATCCATATTTTAGAGATAGCAATGCAGATTTCAGAAGTGGGCATACTGGGAATAATAGACATGTATATGTGGAAAAAATTTTTACACCTAAATCATCTCAGGTATTAAAAAAAAAAATTAGTTGCAAAGCTGGGTTTGTACAGCACTTGCCTAATATGTGCAAGGTCCTGGATTCAATCCTTAACAACACACGCATGCGTGCGCACACACACACACACACACACAAATAATTTATAAATTCATTAAAGTCCTAAATACGGAAAGGAAAGCTATTTGGATTTTAGAATAAGACTCAAGGAAGTATCATTATCATTTGAGTTAGGAAAGGATTTCTTGAATAATTTAGCAAATACTAATTGTTCAGCAAGAGATTGATACGTTTGATCATATTAAAATGGAAAAAAAAAAGTGCTGTAAGACTCCCTGGATAAAGTGAAATAGCATGATGGATTGGGAGAGGATACTTAGCATATACATAAGTAAACAAATTGTAACCCAGGACATATTAGGAATTTCTACAAATAAAATAATGAACCCATATAAATAATACACCTGGTTTTGATGGAGATAGGACAGGGAACCTAGGAAATTCACAGTGAAAAAAAAAAATACAAATGCCAAAGAAATATATAAAAAGATGTCCAATTTCAAAAGAGGTCAGAAAAATGTATATTAAATCAATAGTAGGCTACCATTTCACTCTTGTCAGGTTAGGAAAAATGAAAATATAAGAGTACAAACTGTTGATAAAACCTCATAAAGTGAGAAACCTCATGCTACAAGTGGGAGTTTACATTTTCTGATCAGTATGTAGAGAAATTTGGCAGAAACTACTTAAGGTGAAGTTTTGATATTGTGTTAAATATGTATTACTGTATGAACATTTCCTCAAATGTATGTATCATAGTATTTAAAAGATCTTTTATATTTTGAAGTATTTCTTATGTATTTCACTGACAATAATATTGCTTTATTTTGCCTTGGTACTTTCCTTTGTTTGGTGTTTCATCTTTGAATTCATTAGTATTTTCTTTGCAGTTTAAAGGAATTATGCTGATGCTATTAATTTACTCTCTTAAGAGAATGTGCTTTTAGTATAGAAGATTGTAATTCTATAACCCTGTTTTCCAGTGGGGCTATAATCAAGAAAGAGTAAGAATTATTCAACCACATAGAATGCTCACATTGTGTTCATTTTTCTCTCTTTGATTTTTAGATCCATAGTGGCTTTTCTTGAAAATACAGTAATTTTTTTTTAATCAACCTAACCTGTTTGTATGAAAGAAAGTACCCAAATTGGGGGGAGTATGCTACAGTTCTTCAGTAATTACTTCTGTATATAAAAAAATTATTTTTCTATAGTGTCATTCTTATAATCAGTGATTTAAGAATCCCCTTTCTTAGAAAAACACCTGCCAGGAAGGAAAGTAAAGATGTCCTTATAGAAAACAAATAAATGTTTTTCCAATTAATTAACATTTGATCAATAGAATCTGAATTTTTTCTTCTCTTCTTTTTGGTGATGAAACCCTTTAAATTCAGGCACTTTGCTCTAAATTTTTGTTGGGGTATAGTTCTGCTAAATTATTCAAGAAATCCTTTCCTAACTTAAATGATAATGAGACTTCCTTGTGTCTTGTTCTAAAATTTTAATAACTTTCCTTTCCATATTTAGGCCTTTAGTGAATTTATGACTGTTTTGTTGTTGTTGCTGTTGTTTTTTTTTTTTTTTTTTTTTTTTTTTGTGTGTGTGTGTATGCGTTATATGGTTTATAGATTGAACCTGGGACCTATTTTGCCTTCATTACTATGTCTTGTTAATAAAGCCTACCCTGCTAGTGCATATATAGAAATTTGTTAAGGATTTATTGTATCATAATAATCTAATGTAATTGAATAATAGAATCAAAATAAATAATAAAATATAAGTGACCAAATAGAGAGACCTAGAATCTAACATCATCCTCAGGTCTGGGTTGCTGTTTTTCTCCTTATAAAAATGGTTTTGCAGAAAGGACATTGTAAATCTTCCTTTTCCCATTTTGTGGTCAGTGGCTACATATTGAACAGATGGAAAGTATGGCTCCATTTGGTCATGATCAGTTCTCCTAACAGTGACAATTGTAATGTTAAAGCAAACATATGGAATTAAAATATATACAAGCCTTTTTTCACTTTATCTATAAGAATATTAAAAACGAAATTAAGCAAACTTTTAGTTAGATTTATTGTGTCCTATTTTTCAAGGGTTCTAAGTTGTAACTATTAAATGATGTAAACCTTTATTTTTATTTATTTATTTTCTTTCTCTACTGCTTCAGGCCAGATATAGACTATGCATCTTCATTTAATGGTGGAAACATTAAAGGCATTGAAGGAAATTCATCTGGACACTTACCAAAATTCTGTCATGAGTGTGGGACAAAATATCCTGTAGAATGGGCAAAGTTCTGCTGTGAATGTGGCATTCGAAGAATGATTCTATGAACAGAATCCCAAAAGAAAGAGAGCCAGGTTGACAGTTTTATGATCATTGCTGCTTGAACAGCTAGAGTATATCCTCTAGTTATTTTGTGCAAAAACTATTCAAAATACCTTTTCCAGTAAGTTTTGGAGCATAATTCTTTTGCTGTATAATGTGTGTTTGTATATATTTGTATATATACTGTGTATAATAAATACCTGATACCCCAAGCTGTGCCATTCAAAGAAATACTCATTAACCTTTCAGAAAATTACTTCAATGGAATCATTAACTTAGGTGTTGTTAATGCGCATTCAGTGTACCTCCACAAATGCTCCTTCTCTTGTGGTTGACCCTTCAAACTTTAGAATAATCACAACTTCAAGCAAAAAATCAGAATAAACATTATTGGTGCTATCATAGTAGGATGGACACTTGGAATTTTGTAATTGAAGAAACTTTTCATTATTATTAGTTGATGTGGGGTCATTTTGGTATTGAATTCTCCAACAACTAATATTCCTAAAAAATAAGAGAAAGAAAAAAACGTAAGATCTATTTTTACTCTTAACTTGTGACTTATTAATTATATAATTTAAATATGATTACACATTCTGTGAAAATGTAATTATGCAATTTCCTTTTCAGAAACACAAAACTAAAAATACAAATGCATTTTATTCTATTTATAACTGAATGTTATTTTTGTACTTCTGAATTAGTTCAACATATATTCTTTCTACTTCTAATAGTGTTCCAAATTTCACTTATTTTATTTTTCAGAATTTGTCTGAAGAATAGTTTTAATTTACTGCTATATTTTTGCAGTATTTGAAAGTGTAACTCTTTAATGTAAGATGCCCAAAATTCTTTCTGAAATCTTACATTTTAACCATTTTATTTCTGTGTTTCTGAATTTTTAAGAAAGTAATGGATTTTAAAGTAAACCACCTCATCTAATAAATAATAATTGTGTAATTATTCATTAGTGTTGAGCATGCAGGTAAAAAGTATTTGGATTTCAGTTTCTTATAGTACACTTAGAGGTAGTTATGAGTAGGTTGAGTATCTCCAATTTTTTCTACTCATATTTTCTTCTTTACTGTTTAATGTTACCATTGGTAAAGATACCATTCATATCACAATGAAAAAAAACCACTGAAAATGTATTGTTTTGATGCATAACTGACTTATTATGTAATTAAACATACACAAAATCTGTATTTTCTCTTTAACTTGACTAGCATAGAACTTTTGATCACTGTCACTCTCACTGTTACACAATATTTAGCAATAGCTTTCTTTGATGGCTTGTGCAATTATATTTAGTAATTCTATAGTAATTCCAGTTAAAACCCAAGTGAACTTTCTTTTATTGTAATGGTACAAGCAAATCTTTTATATTTTACGTATTTTCTAGCTTTTATTATTCATATCAACTATAAAGATCAATGTAGAAATATTTTAAAATTTTATTTCTCTGAAATTTATTTAGTTTTTGTTTTGTTTTAGTTGGGGCAGGGGTATGACCTTAGTGGTAACAAGAATTGCCATTTTATATACATTATAGTTTCTTTTCCTGATATTTCATTTCAGTTATTTTATTCAGCCATGTTGATTTAAAAAAATCTTGCTCAAGTAAGTTATAATGAATTTAGAAGACTAATGTACATATTAGTTTTCCATTTCAATGACTTCTGTCCTAATTGTTATAAATCATATGAAGAACTTTCAATTCTTATTTATCTAGGAATGAACACTATTTTCTTTCAAGTATATTTTTGAGACAACCTAATCTTTTTTTTCTGCTCACAGAGGAGTAAATAAATGAGTTTAAATAAATTGGCACATATTTCTCACTGAATTTTGCAGTACTAAAATTATTATAAACAGTAAGTAGGTAAAATAAACTTATGACTTAAGAAATGTTGTGAAAATGTATTTAAGTGCATTTTATATTACTTGCATATTTTACTCTCACATTAATTTGTTGTACGATAGTTCTTAAGCAATCTTCCTATGCATCATTTATTTTTATTTATTTGCACAAGTATTTGCCAATGTGGTAGAATGATAAATGATTGTAAACTTAAATTTAAAATGTAAAAATTGCTTATATATTATTCTGAAAGTTATTAGCTTGAAAAAGTAAGATTACTGTGACTACTGTTGTCTTTTGTTCATTGTTTTTTATTATAAATATCTTCATTTTGAACGAATTCAATAAAGACACAAGCATAAAAATGCTAGTTGTTATTTATTGATGTCTTATCTTTTAGCCAAATGTAGATAGATAGATCAATAGATAGATAGATAGATAGATAGATAGATAGAAACACACTGATATATAAATAAAATATTTGGAATAAAAAATAATTTGTTTAAATGAAGAAGTGCCTCTTCATTGTTTTTAAATGTCATCAGTTTCTTTTAAATTACTTTTATAGAAGTAAAGGTTCTATGGCTTCAAGTATTTTAAATGTTTTGATTATAAAATTTTTAAGGGATAAAATATTTTTTTATATCCTGTAAAATTTAGAAATTGAAAACAATGTTATCAAACTTAGTAGGAAATATGGATATTTCTAGTTAAGTACTAAACATCAATGGCAAAAATCTATTTGTGGTGAATGAGGATTCAGGCCATATTTTATAGTTATTTCTTGTGAAAATGTGATTAGAATTGATTGATTTACTTGGTACTCAGTTTTTCTTTGACTAGAAGTGGACACTTTCACTAGGAGTAGAAGCTTAGAGAGTGAAAATATAGTATGAGAAATGCATAGATGCAATCAGAAGACATTTTGGAAATTTATTTGCATTGAATATAAATGCAAATATTTTATATGATATTTTATATGGTGGGTAAAATTTTAGTACTAAAATAGGTGGGTTTTTTCTAATTGACTATATTGTTGCATATAGCAGTGAAGAATTATTAAAACAAAGTTTGTGATAACCGCATTCATTTTTATTTTTATTTAGAAAAATTTAAGTAGTATTCAGAGTGCCTAGTAAAATATACAATTTTGCTTAGCTTATATATGAATTGCTTTTTTTGCCACTAGAGGGTGCTTTAGGATAATTTAATATCACTAGCTTCCAATTACTTTAAAGACCTTTCAGCAATATAGTTATGTGGTTTTTTTTTTTTTTTTTGACAACATAAAATGACAGAGATTCATAAGAGCAGTTTTTTTTTTTTTTAGCAACTTATATATTTATATCCTAGAAACCTAGTTCAGCTCATTTTGGGCATAGATGATAGTAACTAATAGAAATGTTTAATGTTTATACTTCCAAATATTTTATTAGCCCAATTATGCATCTCAAAGATATCACTCAGGAAAATTACCAAATATTTGAAATATTTCTTTGATGTTTCATGATAGTTGTCTACCAAATTAGTAGGGGATATATATATATATATAGAGAGAGAGAGACCTCTTCCGTCCCACTTCCAGTAATCTAGGCTAACTTAACATTGTCTAACATGAGAGTAGCATGTATTTGATCAGTATATAAGAGGTTATACTAACTAATTTAAGGTACACAAAGCTAAAGCTTTATACTTACAACCTTTAGAAAAGGCTTTGTGTTCATCCTTCTATCAAGTCCTAGAGATCAAGAGAATAAATAAGATATGATTAAGTCCCTGCCTTTAAATTATTGGAGAGGCCAATGTGTAAACCCATAAATTACAATTTAGGATAAAAAGAAAAAAATTTTTTTACATGGAACTTTATCATGAAGGTACCAACAAAGTATTACAGAAGAAGAGGCTTCTTACCACCACAAGTTAATACAGCTGGCTATTTCCTACTTCCTTCTTTTCTTTGAATGCTTAGGAGGAAACCTGATAGAACATAAGGCAAAATTGCATTACCTTTAGGTAGAGAAAAGGCAAGTGACTATGAAAACGATGTGTGTGGTAGGGACCCTTCGATCTGAAAAATATGAACTTCTTCATCCTGAGAATGCAGGAAAAGCCGCATTGAGTAAAAGTTACTGATAATTCTCTCTGATCAATCTCTCTTCTCACGTAACTTAGTCCTCTCATTTCCTTCTTTCTCCTTGTACAAACAATTATTTCTATGCCTATTTTGAATTCTCAGCAGTATGGCTGGGGTAAGAGTACCCAGCAGTGCATAGTACTGTTGAGTATATTCAACAATGGAATGCTGATTTTTCAGTCATCAAATGAGCAGTCTTAAATTATAAAACTAAAAACTGCTATGGGGTATTATCCACTGATAGCATAACTATAAATTGATAATACTTTTTTTAAAGTTGACTAAATTTAAAAGACTTTATGTCTTATAAACTAGTAATTTTACTTCTAATTTTTTTAGGGAAATAATCTGAAGAATAAAAATATTTATGCAAAATGTGGTTAGTAGTTAAAGAAAATTTAGTAAATTAGTCATCTTAAAGCACTTCCAAATAATTTTAAGACTATAACAAGGTAATACTTAATTTTTTTAAATAGTGCATATGTACAAATTACATAAAAACTACCATAAATTAAAGACTTGAATCTATTCAATATATTGTGCTTGTTTCTATGCAAAGAATATTTGATAAGTTATATTTTATTTATACTTTTCAATTTTCTAAATTTAATGAGTATTATGTCTGTGACTAGCATCTTGTGACAATCGTTTGATGAATTTTCTATATTGAATCTTACTGCAAGGGTTTGGTTTTGCATCCTTTTTTGTAATGATAGAGTAGCTGTGTGACTTGGAGACAACTGAACAAATATAGTATATCCACATATATACATAGATGTGGATATATTATATATCTATATATAGATATTGATATGGATATGGATATCCTCATATATATCCTTATATATCTATATATTTATTTATATCCTTTTATATATACATATACATACATATAATCTCCTCATTCGCGGGATTTATTAATTGACTTACATTATGAGAGGCTGAATAGTCCCACAATGGCCATCTGCAGGATAGCTGCTCAGTTCAAGAAGCTGGAAGCATCAGAACAAGAAAGTCAAATAATGGAACCCCAGTTCCTCTCCAGGAAATCCTGTGGAGAGTAGTTTTTGCAAGTCTTCATTCAAAGTCTAGACAATCAGGAGTCTGATATCCTAAGGCAATGGCAGCAGCAAAAAATCACATCCACCAAAAAAGAGTCAAGCATATGTGTATATGCAAGTTTCTCACTTCTATGTTTTGTTCCATCTGGGGCCCCAGACAATTGAATGGTGTTGCTCACCCTCAAGATAGGTCTTCCCCACTGAGTCTACAGACTCACGTGCCAGAAGTCTGGAAACACCCTTATAGACACACCCAGAAATATGCTCTACCAAATTTCCTGGTGTCTCAATCCAGTCAAGTTTTCAACCAGGTTTAACCATCACACTTGAATTCTAAAACCAATAATATAAAGCACATGCTGAACAATCTCCATTTCCTAGTGAGACACTGAGCTTTAAACAACAGTAACAGTTTACCATGATCATCACTGTAATCCCAGTGAAGGGAGGCTCAGGCAGTCTAAGTGTCCCAGACCTTGTTTGAAAATAAAAACATTTTCAAAAGGCCTGAAGATGTGGTCCAGTGGTAAAGTGCGCCTGGGTGCAAGCCTCAGTACCAAGGGGGGAAAAAAGAAGGAAAAAAAACAGCAGAGAATTAAGAATTGGCACTGTTATTTCAAGATGTGGCATATGCCCATGGTAGCATTTTATTCTTGCCCTGTGTTTAATTTGTGCATTGTCTCTGGCTAAACACTCTCCAGACTTGACTGTCTTATTCTGTCAGAGATTCTGTGAATTATTCAGTAACTTTTCACAAATTCTTTTTTGTTTGAACTAATTAACCTGGGATCTGCACTTTGCATGCAAAAACTCTTCACCAATCAAATCTGTAATGTTCTCATGCTTCCCCTTTACAATGCCTTTGGTAATGGTTGAAGTACTTAAAACCATATTCTACAGGAGAACTCTTTAATATAATGAATTACAACACATTCCTGATCCTAATCGTGGCATTAGATTACTCACAAACGGATGGATGGAAGGAAGGAAGGAAGGAAGGAAGGAAGGAAGGAAGGAGAAAGAAAGAAAGAAATGTGCTTTGAGTTTAATGTATGCCTATCTTGCAGGACTAATTTGAGGATTATGAGTAATACGTATTAAATCTTTGCCACAATTTCTAATGCTCAATAGGCTCTCAGTAAATAGGATTAATTATTATGTAACTTTGGATATTGTGCATGTTACACATTGATAAAATATTTATATAATTCCTACCAGACATTTATTTTAGTTCCAGTGAGCAAGCAGTCAAAAAAGCCTGCCCTTTATATTCTAGTGGAAAAAGACTGAAAATAAAGAATATCAATAAAATTTATATTAGATTATGACAATGCTATGTGGGAAATAAGATAGGGGATATTAAAAGAGAGGAAGGAGAATGGAGGCGTGTTATAGTTTTAGATTAGGTGTTCAGGTATGGTGTTGTGAGAAAGTGATATTTTAACTCAAACCTGAATGAGAGGGTGAATTATTGTTTATCTTTTTTTTAATTGCATGCAATTGTTCATTGGATTATTTCCCCTTTTAGTGCCGTCTGTCAGAATATTCAGTATAGTTGAAATGTGCAAGGGAATGAAAAAAAAGAGCATTTCATTCAGAGGGTAAAGTTAGTGCAAAGAATCTGAAGTGGAAAAGGAATAAATTAAGTCAGGTAGCAAGGCAATCAAAGTGTATGCTCTAGAGACCATAATATGACTGGTTTACTCAGAGTAAGAAAGGAGTAAGAAAGCAACATGATCAAGATTAAATATATAATATAAATATAGGTTATTTGGTATTAATTTAGTGAGAAAAAAAGTGAAATAGTTGTCCCTTATTCTTCCCTAGAGTGACCATATATATTGATCAAATTAAGTAGTCTTAGCACTCAGCTTTCTGAAACATAATATACTTTTCCTCTTTGCGTGATTACAACACAAAGGAACAGTTTCCTCACTTAACAGTACCCCACAGTCCATTAATCTGACCTCTGTTGTCACAGTCGTTAGAAATAAACCCTATTTGCTATTAGATCAACTCCTTTGTCAAGGAGGCAAAGTTTAGTCATTCCTCTACTTTCTAAATATGATTCCTGACATTCATAAATAAACTTGGCTTTCATTCTTATTTGTTTATTCAGCAGTGTAAAATAATCTCAATAAAACCCTAACATGTAATGGACAGAGATCCC